CCCGTATACACATTCCTACTACGAACTTCGTTGATACAGTGTCATCAGATTGAAGAGATACCTTACAAGTACACGTCAGTATGATAAACGGTCCCAGATATTGATAGCTCCGGTGAAGTTACTGGTTGCTCTGTTCACCGAGTTTGGCAATGGACTTGCAAACGTTTCGTCACCACACGAGGAGACTTTGTGAGTGTGCAGTTGGGTGGGTGACTCATTGTAATAACGGTATTATCCTCAGCTTAGTTCTCGGTCTGAACCTGCCAAGCTAGCGTTAACGCCAGAACAACCACCAGAGGTGCGCAAAGTGTATTAACACCCAAAACCAGGTCGTGTATAAAGCGTACGCCGTGACAAAACTCTGGAATTCCTGACGCCTTCCGGATGGGAAAACTGACAAGTGGCATTCGGCGAATACTGAGTCATGATTTTCTATTGGGTCCGCGCTTTCAACCAATCAGAGCTGGCTTTGATGTCGGACCGGCAAGCGGCCCGAACTTTCGGCCAATCTTGTGCAGCCGTAGCAGCGCCTAACTGCGAGCGGTAAAGCGGTATCGGTTTGGAATTCTACCCAACACCTGCTAATGCGACCACATTTGAACTTTTCATGGGGTTCAACGGGGATGTTAGTTTCAGAGAAGTTTGGTAAATAATCGGTGTATTGAATTTGTCTAGCAAACCTGTCTGAAACGATGATTACTCAATCGGTCCCAAACATCTCCCAATAGACTGTTAGTTGTTGACAGTAAGGTGAATCCGAGCTGTAGCTAGTTGGTGCATAAGCAGACATTCGTTAATACTTTGGTCAAGGCAAGCCTCCATTAAAGCGGGTGGTTCGAAGCACACAGTCAACAGTTTACGGTATCCGAGCAAGTAAAGCTTTGGCTAGTGCCAACACCGGCTAGATAGATTGCAACAACTGTGGTGTCACCCGGAGCGGCTAGCGAGTGACATGAGCTTTAGAGCTGCAACAAATGCTGTCGACAGGCGAGCGCGCAAAACTAGACCTACCGATTCGCCTAAGCGCCCCCAGTTATGTGTAATAAGAATAGAACGAGACCGGAATGACTGACGTGGAGCGTAGGGCGGTCAACTAATCGCTTTTCGTAAGTTCGCGTCTACAGCCAGAAGCTAGAAAGTTACGATAACCAGTGTTATTGAACGCGCTTTGTGAACGTGGTGTGTTACTGTGAATGGAACGTTCAGTTAGTATCACTAGCACATGCACCCCCACATACGCAATGACTCCGTCCGGAGCTGTGAAAGGATCGACCCTACCAATAGTTCTTTCCTCCTGGATTGTACAAGATACAGCTGGCCTATAAGACAGGTACTGATCGAGACGGAAAGTGACAATATGAATCACACGAATTTTTGAAAATGAACCTCACGATCACTTGGCGTATTGTGAAGCAGGCACCTAGGATGTCTGTATACCGACGATCGATACTGCATACACACGTCAAGTACGTACTGCTTCTGAGGCCCACCATCGCAGAAGGGTCAACAGAAACTAATAATGCGCAAATAAGACCTACCTCTGTGGAAACGGCTCGCTTGAAATCAAGATCCAGCTTATTCCCAGCCAAAGCGATCACTTTGACTGCATTCGACCGTTCGTTGAGCTCATTGACCCAGGATTTGGCACGTTCAAAGGAACTTGGGTTGGTGATATCATAGACGATGATGGCGGCCTGTGCACCCCTATAGTACATTGGGGCGAGACTGTGATATCGTTCCTGGCCTGAGAATTAAAATACACGGAAATATGGCGAGTAAAGAATGTCTTAGAATACAGAGGAAAGGCAACTGATGCTGTTTGGTAGGAACTAAAGGACAAATCCAGCTACTTTAAGATACAGACAGCTTTTGCAACTTCGGAGGTTTCTGTTCCTAGGTTATCCTGGGCGATAACCTATCCACAACACGTGAGATCCGAGAGTGAACTAAGCAGAATGGAATAAAATATACAGAATCAACTAACTGAAATAGTTTCAAGTTCACCTGCGTTTGGCCACACGGGAACAGAAAGACAGGATCAACACGTAACGGCCTTATTCTAGAAGGATCCAGATGATGGTTGACAAGATGGAGACAAGCGGGGGGGTGCCTAACACATCATATTCAACCACCGAGTGACACGAAATTTTCCATGTCATTAAAAAGCAATTCGCAAGAGCATTGTATCGGTAAACGGAGTGGACATTTAAAAAGACAATTTAGCTGGCTTCCTGCATCATGCACTGGAATCGATCAATGACACTTAAAGAGAAGCAACGCAAAGATATGGATACTCTATTCCAGCATAACTAGGCACTTGGTCCAGGTTGCTTACAGCCAGTGACTTCCGACAGCACAAAAGGTTTGGCGATCAGGATGCCACAAATAGCAGGGTTACGCGAAGTAAGGTACATCTAAAGTGATCCCGATACGCCGCATCAACCTGGTTGTTGCGGCATCCAAGGTACTATTGGGCACCATTTGGCACAATTTAACGGGTTGGTGGAAACCAACCTGGTATTTACTCGGAAGATGCATGTGTTTACTACTTTGCGATAAGTCCTGACTCGAAAGTTGCTTTTAGATCAGATACGATACCAGGAACCGTATTTAAACTCAATTATCTTCCGAAGGCGTTCTACGCCGATTTACGATGTAGTCGTAAATCTAGAGATGCAACTTCAACCGCTTAATATTAGCGCCAGAGGGCTGGCGAAATGTTTTTCAGATAAAGGAAAGCTGGAGTGACCAGGTCCAATACCAGCTAGCCGGGCAAGGCAGGGTGTAGACTGTACTTTGCACAACCCCGGCAATATATACACTGACGTCTCCTTAGCATTGTCTGATGGAAGAATGAAATGGATGATAAGTACCTAGAATAGTTATCGGGAGTGGCGAATCGCTGTTGGCAGAACTGCTACTCAGACTGCAAGACTTGCATTGGCCAGACCGGCCGGCCGGTCGAACGCTCTTCGCTAAACCATGTTTTGCGTTGAAATGCTCTAAAGATCAGTCGAAGACCAGTGAATTCAGTTGCGCTAGTAAGTGTCATCATCGGGAAGTCACCGCGAAAAAAACATAAAGAGCCATAAATTTGAGACAAGCCCCGCTTACGCAGTTCACTGAGCTCCCACATCAGACTTCAGACAGCAGCTATCGATAACATCCACTGACAAATAGTGCCCAGACATACGTACCCTAACCGGCCAATACAGTCCCACAAACTGTTGTGCAGCTACTTTCCTGACCTCCTAAAATCATCGGTGAACGAAACTGTGGCAACTATAACCGTTGCACGACAAGTACGCGGTTCTTGCAGCTGGTGATGATGTTGCATAGTTGTAATGCAACGAAAGTGATTGATACTGCCGACGGCCAATGCCTATACGAAGCCTGCTCAAATTTCAGGGTCAGGCTCGAACCACCGACCTTCAAGCCACTGGCTTCACGCATTAACCGCTGAGTTATCCCAACCCTACCTAACCCACTGCTTTTCAAGTATGTCCTTGTCCTCCTGCGTTACTGTCCCCATTCTTGTTCATCTATCGACTCCGTAATCGCACCGGTAGGCATCTTCAGTGAAATTTCTTAGACAGATTGAGGCACAAAGGAGAAAGTTTCGCCATCTTACCATTTGAAAATTAGTTGGAAGTGCTTTACCGATTCCTGACACGGCCGTAGTACGGATACAAAACTGAAGGTGATCGACTGCTTGTTCGCGACAGGAATTCTTCCGCATTGCACGACAAGTACGCGGTTCTTGCAGCTGGTGATGATGTTGCATAGTTGTAATGCAACGAAAGTGATTGATACTGCCGACGGCCAATGCCTATACGAAGCCTGCTCAAATTTCAGGGTCAGGCTCGAACCACCGACCTTCAAGCCACTGGCTTCACGCATTAACCGCTGAGTTATCCCAACCCTACCTAACCCACTGCTTTTCAAGTAAGTTCTTGTCCTCCTGCGTTACTGCCCCCATTCTTGTTCATCTATCGACTCCGTAATCGCACCGGTAGGCATCTTCAGTGAAATTTCTTAGACAGATTGAGGCACAAAGGAGAAAGTTTCGCCATCTTACCATTTGAAAATTAGTTGGAAGTGCTTTACCGATTCCTGACACGGCCGTAGTACGGATACAAAACTGAAGGTGATCGACTGCTTGTTCGCGACAGGAATTCTTCCGCACACGCTTTACCTCCGCACTTAACTTACTTCAAGCCCACAAAACTTTCCAATGACCGCCTTTAAGAACTGCTGCCCTCATGATAGGGAAACTAAACATGAGATGTTTCTTATCGAATACTTCGCTGCCGTAATTTATTCGAGAGCTTTTATTATGGAAAGAATAAAAGCAGATGGGGAACGGGTTTCGTGCTAGCCTACCGCAATCATTCTGAGGTGCCTACATCTCACGACACTCATATTCCATTTTGAAACTGATAACAATAACGCCACTGATATGGAATAATAGCCACATCTTGTATCTTTTCCAATGAGGCACAGCGGACATCGCGTAGAACCCATTCCGAAAGGGGAGTCGCATTGACAACGCAAAGACTATAGGATCATCCGAAGCCCTTCTGGTTGCGATACCCTGAATTTAGCACGGAATACAGCACCCCTTTCAGCAGACGATGAATCTGCATGCGCGTTACATGGCCTAATCAATGCAGCTCCTGGTGCTGAACACATGCTTCGATGAACGTCGCTGTTACGCAACCGAAGACTTGCTTCCTAATTATATCGTTGCGCATTAGGGTCCTGAAACAACGGTTATCGAAGACCTGAAGACAACTCCGTTCCGCTGATCGAAGAGGCCAAGTCTCATAACCCCTACCGTAGCCTGATATACATGTGCCTTGAGATTCAGGAATATGCCACTTTGACGCGAACCGAGCCTTAGGGATTTGTATAGTGACCTCATCTATCAAACCACTTCCAAATTTGTGAAACACTCCACAACTTCAAGTGCCCTTCTCTGAACTGTAAGTGGCGTGTTCAGTGCCTGCACGCACATGGGTACAAAGCGCATGTGGAGGGATCAGTGCTCAGGCCAGCGGTCGAGGCGTTCCTATTTATTGAAGATGGCGCTGGTTTGATGGTTTCGCACACCGGCAGTTTCCGAAAGCCGGTCGCACAAATCAAACAACCATTCTCAGCATTCTTTGCTTCTTTAATTTCCTTAGCCTTCGCGGTCGGTGCACGCCGTTTCACTTGAAAGCTGAGAATTCGTCGGGCTGAACTATGTTCGGAACCAGAGGATGCTTTCTTCCGTGGTTCAAGCATCCACACTGTTCTGTCAGTCTAGTGTGCTTGAGTGGTGCTGACAAACAAAACCCCCGGCATTGTGTAAAAACATGGTGATCTAGTTCCGGCGAAAACTGATAGCCGATGGTGGAAGAGTTCGGAGAACGATTGTGATATATTCACCCAACTTCGGAATCTGCCAGCTCCTCAGTTTCCAGGCCATCTGTTCGCCACACACGCGGTTCTGAAAAGCGGGAAGAAGCCAAATCGGGTGAGTACGTGATCTGAGTCCCTCGGTGGCTGATGGTGATGTGATATGAAGCAAACCCGTTGTTTGGCCATCAATAAACCTTCCGAATTACGGGTCCAATTATTTTATCAAACTAACAAAGCTCTAAAAGCCGCATCCTCAGAAGATGCCAGTTGTATTTTGGATGAGATAGGCACCAACCTCCATAAAATAGGGAACTCGGTGTGTGGTGCCTCTTATGGAACACAATGTGAGATACCGTATCTCTTCGAACACTGAGCATATTTCAGCCACAAGGGCTGTTGGATTTCCGCTGGACCATTGTCTGTGTGCGGATAGAGAGATCTGGCAGACTCAGAGAGCTCTGAAAATTGAGAAAGCCATTGCAACTAAAGTGTTGGAATATCTTCACGCTTGGTACAAAAAACAGGATCAAAAGCGGTCGTTAGTGAGGTTATAAGTGACACCATGGAAAATCGAATGAATAATAAGAATCAGTGCCTTCAGCGCTGGGCTGAGTATGTTGGAAAGCACTTCACCCACCTATAATCATGTCTCTCGATTCGAATTTACACCCTCCTTCAATTTCTGAAGTACTGTGTTACGCCTTGAAGCACGGCAGACTGAGTCCCGATGGCTCAGTGGTTAGAGCACGAATTTACTGACTGGAAGGTCCGTGGTTTGAACCCGATCTCCGGCTCTCGATTAGCCTGGGTAACTGGCGGTATCCCAGCCCTCGTGCTTCATCGGGTAACATGGTATCTGGGTGCCGAGAGGGTGTTACAGCCGAACGATCATTACACAGTGTGATGTGTCCCTATGTTTTGTCTTGACTTGTCTTGTTTAAGCTAGATTGAGGGTGGGAATGCATTCGTACAACCTGGGGCCTACATTCAGAAAAGAAACCCGAAGCGAGTGCTCCAACGACAAGCTTTATTTTATAGTAACACTCAACTGAACGCATGAGGCGCAAACCTGAAAGCCTCAGGCGTCTTTTTTGGCGTGATTGGAAATCCTGCGGAATGACATGTAACCGGTTCTGACGGCGAACTTACTGTCACTTCTTAGCCAGACTGTCCAGCCACTTCCTGTCCGTCGAGCTGGACTTGTGTGAAGTGAAGTTCAGGGACGCTTGGTCAGTCCCTCTGGGGCGCCTTGCTCCAACATGATGCCCAGATGTTTCCATCTCAATGTCTTTGGGATGTGGGTTATTCTTGAACGTTTCTTCAAGGGAAATTGAGCTCTCG